CGAAGGCTGCTTCCAACTGCTGTCAGTCGAGATGGTCTACAACACCACCTTCCACCCGGCTGTCATATCCATCAACGGACAACCCGACCTGTCTCTTCACGACCAGAGTTTCCCCGCCCACGCCCACGAAGGGAGGGGCGGCGGGCGTGGCAAGGTAGCTAAGGATATGCTGACGCTCCTGACGGCCGAGAAGGAGGTGTCAGCGGAGGTCTACGAGGCGTTGTCGGAGGCTGCGGATAATCTGGGTGAGGGAGATGGGTGTGTCGGGGAGAGAGGGGGGAGGGAGGGAGGGAGGGAGGGAGGAAGAATGAGGGAGGAAGGGAGGGAGGGAGGGAGGGAGGAAGGGAGGGAATGAGGGAGGGAGGAAGGGAGGGAGGGAAAGAAAAAAAGATAGGGAGAAAGAAAGATGGAGCGAAAGATGAAGGGAAGAAAAAGGAAGGAGAAAGAGATCGAAAGAGAAAGCGCGAGAGAGAGAGAGAGAGAGAGAGAGAGAGAGAGAGAGAACGAGAGAGAGAGAGAGAGAGAGAGAGAGAAAGAGAAAGAGATAAGAGAGTGAGGGGGGGTAAAAAAATGGAGGGGCAAAATATGGGAAGGAGGGGGATAGAAGACAGCGGAAAAAAGAGGTAGAATGCGAGAAAGAAATGAGATAAATAATATATAATTTCCCACTTTAATTTTTACACTTTACACAATTATTTCCATTATAGCCCTTGGTCATTTGTTCTGGCCCGCCTACCAGCATAGAACTCGGCAATAGGAACAGCCAGACATTTGTATAAATAACTGATTATAAATATTAATACCTATGTCGTTAGTATATAGAAATTTATAACAAAATTATAAGAAATAAAAAAACTCAAAACTCAAACTCAAACTCAACTCATTATTGTCCGTCACTGTCTTCAATATGAGGGGAAAAAACAAGGTAAAAAATACATTAAAAAATACATGACACAAAATTTACTTAAACTAAATTTTATATTGTATAATAAATCACCTTTGATCCCATACAGTATATCTGGTCATATTAGATTACAATACATATAAACTGTATTACACATAACTCCCTAATATAGCTTTATTCATTATGCTACAAATTTCGACTAAATCAAAATCTCTTGATCTCCCTTCCATGCAGGCGTAGTGAGCGTGGACTGCCTCATCTCCCATGAGCTGTGCCTGACGCCTCATGACCTCTCCTACCTCATAGACACGAGACGAGAGGCGGAAACTGAGCATCGGCCCGTCATAGAAAACGGGGAAGTCTCCTCTTCGGATTTTCGGAGTAACTATAGAAAAACGTACGAGCCCTCCGACGATGATATATTTTCCCTGGCGGAGGGTACGGATAATTTCAATGATACTTTGGAAAGAGAGAAGATTGATTTTTATTCGTCTGGAGGTGATGAGAAGGAGGATACGGATAAACTTCGAGTTAAAATGGGAGAATCGAGGAAAAATAGTCAAGGTGGATTTACTATGATATATCCATCTCCCAACGGGAAGTTATATGACCAGGTAAGAAAATTTAAGGTAAAAATAGACTGGAAGAGAGAGAGAGAGAGAGAGAGAGGAGAAGAGAGAGAGAGAGAGAGAGAGAGAGAGAGAGAGAGAGAGAGAGAGAGAGAGAGAGAGAGAGAGAAGAGAGAAAAAGACAGAAAGAGAGAGAACACATGAAGACCAAAATTCTAACAGCAAATCAAACTCCAAAAGAATTATTCATCAACAAGATAGATAGAGAGAGAGAGACAGAGATAGCGATAGATAGATAGATAGATAGATAGAGAGAGAGAGAGAGAGAGAGAGAGAGAGAGAGAGAGAGAGACAGAGATTGCAAAGAAAGAAAGAAAGAGAGAAGAGAGAAAAAGACAGAGAGAGAGAGAGAACATATGAAAACCAAAAATCTAACATCAAATCAAATTCCAAAAGAATCATTCAACAACAATAACAATGACAATAACCATAACGAACAATACCATCAATCACACCACCACCACCATCAACAACAACAACAAAAAAACTGACCCCGATTGCTTTCCGTCCGTCCCCAAGGTGATCAGCGACCTGTACCAAGCCGTCGCCTCCAACACAAGCGCCGCCTTCAGTCCTGCCTCTTATCTCCTTACGTGGGTTTGAATTTGTCTTTTGTGTTAGTTATTTCCTTAGAAGAGATTGAAAGAAGAAAAAAACATTGTTGTGGAAGTTATAGAAGTTATAGGAAATAGATGTTATAGATGTTTTAGATGTTGGATTTGTAGTGTTGAGTTGTTTCAAAGATGAATATTTGTTATATTTATCCAGTATTTGAATGTATTTGTTTGCTAACTTGTACTATTTATCTAGCAATACTATTTTTTCTAATGTTTTGTTTATTCAAAAATTCAAATTCAAATTTAATTACCTGATTTATTACGTGCTCCTTTCTGTGTTTATTTACCTGATTATCAATTCGCTTACTCGTTTCCATTTATCAGCTTACTCATTATTCATATATACATTT